TCCATGATATCACCAGGATTCGAACTCGACTCAATGGAGAAGTGTATTTTTTTGTACTTCGGCAACCCCATTCAGTGATTTGTAGGTGGGCCTGTGAGAGAACTTATTTCATTTCAGGGAATTATTATTATCACCATTAGATTAGATTATTGCTACTATTAAAAATCCATGCAGAAAGAAATGGGTCTCAGTACAAAGAAACAAAACATGTTTAAAATGCACCTCCCCCAACCAGGGCACAGTTTAAGCACCATCAAAATTACAAATGAAAACTCCCAACAGTTAAAATTACTGTTTTGTTTTCCTGCCATAAAAGCCATAAAATCCACAACAACCTTAATCTATTTACAGCCAGAGTAAATAAAAATAACCCACAAATGATACTATCCTAATCCCCTAAACCTGACGCCCATAATAATTTCCATAGCAGTGGCCCTTTATTGGCACAAAAATGTCACAAAGAAATGGGTCAATTGCATTTGAAGAAGGAATGAAATTGATTGCAGAACCTGAAAACCCCTGAGCTCGTAGCTCCCATTCAGGTCAACAGGTCTTTTCCTCTCTTGCAACCATGCTTACAAGCCCAGGTAACTTTATCTGAACTGAGTTTAGCTGGGCAAAGCAAACTAGGTTTGTTTAGAGGTGCTATCGATTGGCAAAGGCTGGGTGTCGAGTCCTTCAACCTTGCAGGACTAACTTCCCAAGACAAAACACTCTGCCCAGCTTCCTCTAAAATTCACTTTTGGCCTCTCCTTCCCCATACCTCCACCCACATTTCCTCCTTCCCTCCTCCCCCCACAAAAAGGGGAGGATCCTTCCCATTGCTAGCCAATCCCATCTCCCATGGATTCTCGCAGACCCCTCTTTCAAAGGCCCTGCTCCCCAGAAGCGTGGGAGATGCTGCAAAGCAAGAACAACCCTAGAGGGCTCAGGGATGGAAGCCCCGCCCCTTATTTACATATGGGTAGAAGGCGGGTGTGGCCGCCATCTTGACATGGTTGACCTGCCTTGGGACACCCTTGTGGCAATCCCATCCCTTTGAGAGTCTGCTAGATCAGTGGCTTTCAATTTGGGGTCTGTGGAAGTCAAATAAATAAGCATTTTAACATTTCTTGTTTTAAATGTATGTAGACATTACAAAGTGTCTTATGACAGATTTTCACACTTACGACCATTGCAGCACCCTCTTGATTACTAGATCTAAAGTCAGTCACTTGGCAATTGGTCCATTTTTATGATGGTTGCAGTATCCCGGGGTCATGTGACCGCCTTTTGTGACCTTCTGACAAACAAAGTCAATGGGGAAGCCCGATTCACTTAGCAAC